ACATCCCTGTCCTGGAAAATTAAATAGAAATCACGTAGTCTTTGAAGCCAATGAGATAGAATTTATTCGTTTACAAATATTTATTAAATTTCTATTATGCACCAGAAAATTTTCTGGGCACTGGGAATATAATGGTGACCAAGACAGACGTAGTCTCTACTTTCCTGGAGCTGACATGCACCCAACTGAGATCTGCCAAGTACCTCACCTTCCTGAGCCTTTTCTTCTTTATATAATGAAGCTAAATAATCCCTTCCTCACAGTGTTGTTAGGAGGATTAGAGATAATGATGACTGCTATTCATCAAGGGCCAGGTGCTATGAAGTAGGAATTGTTATCCCCATCCTACAGATGAGGAAACTGAAGCTCAGGGAAGTGTAAACTTATTCACGTCACATGGCTAATAAGTGCAGGACCAGAACTCAAACTCAGGTCTGTCTGACTGTCATACAACTCTACCTGTAAAAGTCTCAGATGATGCTCCCAATGTAGTAAGGCATTCAGGAAATGGGTTTGTTCCCCAAGCCATGGGTCTTGCTGGGGGCCAACCAGAGTCTAGGTGCTGCGGACTTAAGAACTGAGATGCATCAAGGAGCTCACCCCAGGCTGGGGGCTGGCTTGGCCTCACCTATCCACCTGGGAGACAGGGTCTGACATGGAGTTGGTGCAGAGCAGTGACTGGAAGGCTCGTCTGGGCTCAAAACCACACTCACCCCATTCGTGTTTTGTGTATCAACTGGGCGACACTGACTTTGTGTCGCACTTTTTTGGTTTGTAAAATATGGTCTCTTACAGTTCTGAAGTAGGTTTGAGCTGTTGGTTCTGATTCCTAAATAGCTCTAGAATCCATCCCCTCCTCCTCGCCATCTTCCACTCTTCTTGTGAGCCTTTTACTATCTCTAGCCTTTACTCTTAAAAGAGCCTCCTCAAGGTATCTGTGTGAACTCATGGTTTATTAGACAGAGGCAGAGAGAGAAATATCGATGTCTGGTATAGAAATATAGTATGTGCTTAATACATATACATAACAACAAAATGATTTATCCAAAATAATGTTAATTCAAAATGAATTATGACAGTAGTGGATTACAACTCACTGGTTAAAATAAAAATCCATGACTCCACATTGATATAAGTAAATAAAGTGAGAGAAAAGGGAAAGTAGAATTCTAAATTATATAGAAGGAATGATGGAGCTAGAAAATCATCAATGGATGCTCAAACCTTTACAAAATAAAAGAGCAAGCTCTTCAAATATTGCTGTAACACCTAGTGCCCAAATCTTGGTTTCTAAATGTCATTCTCTACTAAAAAAAAAACCAGGGCTCCTTGGAAGGGCTCAAAAAAAGATGGAGATGTGCCACAGGACACAGGGGCTTAGAGGGCTTCTTACTGGCCAAATCTGGGGTTGTGAATATCAAAATAAAGAATGATGTTAATGGGTTATATATAAACCATTGAGTGAAATAAACAATCATTAAGTCCATAAGGATATAAATAAATAAATGTAGAAGGGAAAGCCCTCCCTTATAGTGGAAAGCCAACTAAGACATGCCCAGGCCAGGTGCAGTGGCTCATGCCTGTAGTCCCAACACTTTGGGAGGACTGCTTGAGGCCAGGAGTTTGAGACCAGCCTGGGTAACCTAGCAAGACCTCCATCTCTATAAACATTTTTTAATTAGCTGGGCGTGGTGGTGTGTGGCTGTGGTCCCAGCTACATGGAAGGCTGAGGTGGGAAGATCACTTGAACCCAGGAGTTCGAAGCTGCAGTGAGCTATGATCGCACCACTGCACTGGGCAATGGGATGAGACCCTGCCTCAAAAAAGAAAAAAAATATACATATTGAAAGAATGATGGCATTTGAAAATCACCATTTGACAACCTCAGCCATAATAATTGTTCCAGTGAACGCTAAAACTAGTGAGTGAAAGTTTGAGAGTAACATTTCCATTCATCTCTCCACAAGATACTCATCCACTACAATGGGGAAGTGGTAACTTTACAGTGGAGATATTAGATAGCCCAATTTGTTACCTGGTCTTACTTTAGCTGCTGCTGAGGCCAGCGTGAGAAACCTGTTGGCAACAGAGTAACAGGGAGCAGCTGGGGAGACCTGCCTGTCTCCACGCTGCACCATGTGCTGTGCCCACCACTGGAGCTCCAGTTCCCATTCCTTTCTTACTGTGCTACTAACACATTGCATTCGCTCACACCTCCAGGCCTTTTCATGCGCTGCTCCCTCTAACAAATGCCCTTCTCTGTCAGGCTAAGTCCTACTCACCCTTCAAGACTACTCCACTAAAAGGGGGGGCTCCAGAAAACGGTGCCTGACCCCACCCACACACCCCAAGTTGGTTTTTCCCCTCCTCTGTGTTCCCACACACCCAGGGCTTCCTTCTGGGCATGTACTTACTTTATCATCTTCACATTATCCCCACCAGGCTGTCTGTCCACTCCTGAAACTCTTGTCCTACACTGTCTGACGTGGTAGCCACTTACCCACATGTGCTTATTTATTTACATTTAAATTTAATAAAATGAAAAGTGCAGTTCCTCAGTTGCACTAGCCACGTTTTGAGTGCTCAGTAGCCACATGTGGCTAGTGGTTACCATATTGAACAGCACAGGTATGGGACATTTTGCTTATCACAGACAGACCTTACTGGACAGCACTGGAGAACAAACATAAGAACTCTGAGATTCTAGGACCTTTGTCCTTTGTGTTTGTTTGTTTGTTGGTTGGTTTGTTTTTGAGACAGTCTCCCTCTGTCACCCAGGCTGGAGTGCATTGGCGCGATCTCGCTCGGCTCACTGCAACCTCCACCTCGCGGGTTCAAGCAGTTCTGTTCTTTGTTATGTGTTGTCTCTCCCCATCTGTATCCCCAGAGAGATTGGCAGCAGCACCTTTGATATAAGAATAGTCAATGGGCTTGCTGTCTTCAGGTCCTCAGAGAAATGGGGAAGTGAGGAGATGAACTACCCCTCCACAGTCTGGACAGTGCATTTCTGGAGGGGTGGAGGGGGTGAGGAGCACAGACAGCCCAGCACTGGGACTGCAATGAGGACTGGAGGAGGAGAATTTAGGAAACAGTTGAAGGAAGCATGAGGAGCTCCCAGAGGGGCCCGGAAACTTGGTACACAGGTTGCATCAATCAGTAAATCAACCAATGCAAAGATATCTAACTCTGAGACTTAGAAAGAACCGTTCGTTCATTCATTCGATCAACAAAATTTTAGTACCATCTGTGCTGTGCCAGGCACTATATGGGGCAATGCTCTGGATGGGGATGATTCAGACCAGTGTCACTCCCACGCCACTTAAGGTATGGTGGGGAAGGATCTCAGAGAATGTGATGAAGGGCACATTTTGTGAAGGATGGGTTCTTCAAGCCCATCTTGCAAGGGTTGGGAAAACCTTCATCAGGGATGTTGGGGGGAGTATTGTGGCGGGGGGAAAGGCACAAGTAAAATGCTGAGTTTGGAAAGTACACAGAGGCATTTTTGGGGAACAGTAAGTGGATGGCCAATGTGTGGGTGAGGAATGAGAGTTAGGACCACAGAGATTGGCTGGGCCACCTTGTGGAACATCTCCCATGTAAAGATAAGTGGTCTCTGTAGGTGGCTTACTGTGTGTCTGGCCATGAGGTAGGCACTTCACATGCATCTGTTAACTGTCCTGCAAGGTTATTATCCCCATCTTACAGGTGGAAAGCCAGGCTCTGAAGGGCTAGGTGACTTGCCAAATGCAGCACAGGCCAGGATTTGAGTGCTAAAAGCTGAGCTTTGGAAAAATGCGACCAGAATCAAGCTGAAGGTAGGGAAACGATCGTGCAGCTTGGTCCAGGAGGGAAGAAAACTAAAAAATGTTGATTGGACTTGATTCAGGACCTTGTGGGTCTAAGCTCTTCAAACCCTCACGTCTGGTCCATAAGGCAGCATCAAATGTGTAGGTGGCCCCAGCTGCTGCTTTTGCTAGTTGTCTTCCCTGGGACACCTTTAAACATGCATACAAGGAAGAAAACAAATAATTGGTCCGAGCTGCTAAGAGCGAGGCCATCCAAACCATTCCCTTTTAGAGGCCATTCCAGATTCTAGGAAGGCAGCAAAAATAGTGACTGAATGCTGCTTCTGGGGACCCTGCTGACTTTAACCAAGAACCATGGCTCAACCCCACTTCTCCTGCGCTAGGCTAAGATCCAGGACATAATCAGTGATGCTAGAAACACGTCCGTTTCAGAGGGAAGATGTTTGGGAGGACTGGAAAGGGCCCTGGGGCTGGAAGTCAGGAAACCCCATCCTGACTTGCTGAGTGGCCTCGGGAGAGACTCTTCCCTTCTCTCAGCCTGTCCCCTTCTCTGTAAATGAAAGGGAGTCCAGCTCTTTGTTATCTAACATCCCAAGTATATATGCAGAGCTCTTAAAATGTATCTAGCCCTGTGCCTTCCAAATCACTCTCCCACCCTCAAGGATAGAAATGTGGCCAGCCATTGTGGGGATGAGGGAGAAGCTCCCAAGCCAGGCCAGGCCAGCCACATCCAGGGTGAGAGGAGATGCCCCAAGAGTGGAAGGAAGCATCCATCCTATGAAAGGAAGAGAAGGGAACTAACTTGCTCAGCTCTATCCTGGCTCCTTGGCATCCATTACTCCTGGGAATCATCATCATCTCCATGTGGCAACGGCTTATCAGCTCAAGTTTTACACTGAGGAAACGGAGACTCAGAGAGGGTGACTCTCCCGAATTCACATGCCTAGGAATGAAAACCCCAGGATGTGAACTGGATCAACTCCAAAGCCCATACTCTTGCCACTCTGTCACGCAAACTGTGCATGAAATGAGATAGAAAAACCTCCCTCACTCCCACCTCCCTCCAAGCAAAGCATCTCATCCACCCAGGTGCCTGAATTTCTAACATTAGCGCATCACCTCCCTGGGCTAAGGCCTCTCTCCACGGGCTCCACAGTGGGGAAGGGGCGCAGAAGTAGGAGGCAGAGGCAGGAGGTGAGCACAAGGTCTTTTATGAGGCATCAAATATACATTCTTATATACAAGGAGGAAAAAAGACAATGCCTGAACCCCAGCTCCTCTCCATACAGCCCCTTCCACTGTCACCCTCCCCCGCCCCCAAGCCCCAGTGTCCCTGGCCCTTCGTACAGCCAGGGTCCCTCTGTCTGTCTGTACTGTAGCCCATGGTGGAGAGGGGAGAGGGAGACAGGAGCTGAGTGAGGAGCTGGATATGCGGGGCAAGAAGAGGAGCTGGGGCTTGTAAAAAATATATTTATAATAAATAAACAGGGCTGCAAAAGGGCTGGAGAGGCAGCGGAGATTCTGATGGACAGAAGGACTCAGGCATTCTGGCTCCCAACCCCAGCTCTGATGGCTTCAATCTCTGCCTCAGGAAGGACATCTTGGGCTCATGGTGGCCCTTTGGGAGCCTCTCTCCCCAGGGCTGATGCTGGGTGCCCTGCCCCAGCGCGGTGTGTATGGGCGATATCTGTAAAGTGCATTGTCTTCAGTTGTAGGTGGGGTAGGTGTAAGGGAATGGGGGGGCATGCAATATGGGTGAGGGAGGGCAGTGCCCTTCTCATCCCAGACCTGAGCCCCCCCAAAACCTGTCTGGACTTTGATCAGGATAAGAACGTTGCAGGGCGAGGCAAGTTCCTGAAGCCGAAGAGGTCTGGGCTGGGGCCTACTGGAGAAAGGGCATAGACTGGCTCGAGAGAGGAAGCACTGCCCCACGTGGGGCCAACATAAGCAGGGTCCCACCCACCGAGTGCATCGACAGTCCGTGTCCTCCAGCAGGCAAAAAGACACATGGAAGTGTGTGGCCAGGCCCTGAGGTCAGAGAGAGGGCCAAGCCAGCTGAGGTTTGGCCACAACTCTACAGAGCGCTCTCCTAGCCCCACACGGCCAGAGGAGCCCCGAGGAAGCCTTCACCTCGACAGCTTTGGACACCTGCCCTTCTCCGCCAGCCAGAGCTGACAGGGAGCTCACACAGGCCCAGAGGTCTGAGGCCACAGAGCTAGACCTCCAGGGAAAAGTGGGGAAGAAGAAGACAGGAGAAAGAGAACGAGGATCTCTGGAAGGCCCTCACCACTCCCCAGCGCTGGAGCACCCTGAGTCCAGGCTTCAAGTGGCAAGGATCCTTGAATCTGGAAGGAAACCCCATGGCAACTGCTGGGGGTGAGGGGACGGGTCCCAAGGCAGGGAGGACATGGGGAGGAGGACGTTGCTATGTGTATATATATTTTTGAAAAAACCGAGGAAGCAAAGAGGGTGTAAGGTCCCTCTCCTGTGGTTCCCCAGACTTTCCTGTTCCCCAGCTCACTCTCTCCATTCATCAGACCACCGTGCTGATCCGGCTTGGCTTGGCCTTGGGGTTTGCACTAGGGGGGTTGGCTGTGCCAGGGGGCCCAGAGGCGTGCAGCGGGCCATGGGGGGAGGTGGGCGGAAGGGGTGAGTGCGGGGTGTGGGGGGAGGGTGGGGGAAGGGGTGGGTAGGAGGGGTGGGGCGGGATGGGTGAGTGTGGTGACAGTGGTGACTGGGGGTGGTGGGGGTGGGAGTAGGAGCCCCCTGGTGGCCGGGATCCAGGGCCCCCAGCCGCACCTGCTGCTGGCATCATCTGTGGGTGGTGGCTGAAGATGAAGTGTTTAGGGCCCTGTTTGTGGGCTGGAGGGTGCTGGGGAGCAGGACTGTACAGGGGCAGTGGGGATGTGGGCTGGTGCAGGGGGTGGCGGCCATGTGGAGCAAACTGAGGGTGTCCTCCAGCTCCCCGTCTGGGTGCCCTGCCTGGCCGGCCCAAGGTATAGTGTTGGGGCCCTGGGACTGGGCCATGGGCGTGGAAGTGGCGATGTGGCCCCACAGGTGGGGCTGAGGCGGGAGGCGGTGGAATGGAGCCTAGCTGGGGCAAGGGTGGGGGCTGCTGGGGAGGTGGGGGAAGAGATGGCTGCTGGGGTGGGAGGTAGGGGGGCGGGGCAGGGCCTGGTCCTTGGCAATACTGGGCATGCAGGGCCTGGAGCTTGGACTGCCCATCAGGCAGCACCCCCAGGCCACCATGGCTATGGCCGTGGTGATGGTGGTGGTGGTGGTGGTGCGTGGAAGAAGCAGATGAAGAGGAGGCAGAGGCCTGGCCTGTTGGCGGTGGTGGCATCTGGAAGGGCCCCTTGCCCCGCTTGCTTCCAAATAGGGAGCCCAGGAAGGATGAGGAGTTGGAGACGGGCCTCTGGCTCTTGTACTCCTCTGGCGGCGGGGGTGGGGGCGGAGGTGGCATCCTCTGGTGAGGGCGTGGACTGCTAATAACAGACCCCTGGAAGGGGGGAGGGGGGAAGTCAGGCCAGGCTAGATGCCCTAAACCCCCAGCCCTAAATTCCACCCCTGTCCCTGAGGGCTGGAGCTGGGGAGATAGCGAACCCCAAGTTGTAATAAAAACCAAATCACAGTCCTGTACTCATATGTGGAGCTCCCCAGCTTGCAAAGCTCGGCTGTCACATCCACTATCTCATCTGAGCCTCAGCTGGGAGAGGAGAAATTAGCAGTACCTCCTCCTCATCCCCATTTTGCAGGCAGGGAAAAGGTTAGGCCCAGAGAGGCAGAGTGACTCGCCCAGGGTCAAAGAGCAGGACTTGGAGGTAAGAGCTTCTCGTGGCCCAACTCCAAGGGCATCCCTACTCGCCGTCGGCCCTGGGGTTGAGAGGGGGCACGGGAGAGTGGAAGACAGGCTGAGAGACAGGCAGAATGAGGACAGACAGAGTTGAGGACAGATGGAGAGAGTGGTTGGCTGGGAGAGGCAGCCGCACGGTTCTCAGCAGGGAAGGGGGGAGCAACAGGTCCCCTCCTCCTCTGGGTCTCCATGGCCGGGGCAGGGCTCATGCAGAGGACGAGTGGGGCAGGAGCTGGCACTTACTTCGATGGTGCTGTCCAGCGATCCCACGCTGTTACGCCGCCCCCGCTTCCCTGCACCCACAAGCAAGGAGCCCAGCGTCAGAGCAGCAACCCCCCCTCCCTACCCTGCTGGGCTCCAGAGCTGGGCACCAGGCCTGGGCCCCTCCCGGGGACAGACACCCCATTATCCCTTTCCCCCATTGAAGAGGGGGAGGTGGGGAGGAGGAGAGGTGGAGAAGGAGGAGAGAGAGGAGGAAAAGATGGAGAAGGAGGAGTGGAGGTACAGGAGAGACAGAAGAGGGAGAAGAGGAGGAGAGGTGGAGCAGCAAGAGAGAGGCACCAAGACTGTGGCCCCACTTCACATTCCCTGGCCCAAACGCTGGGCTCCCCCTGCTCTGACCTGGCTCCCAGGCCCCCTGTGGCGCAGCGCCCAGGACTCTGGGTGAAGGCAGGGTGCGTGTGTGTGTGGCAGGTGGAGGGAAGGCTGGTGGCCAGTGACAGGAGGCAAAGAGGACACCTGGTCCCGTGTCTCCCCAGCCAGGGCAGGGGCCCAGAGGGCTTACCTGCATCAGAGAGGTCTCGCAGGGAACTGCTGAGTGCGCCCCGTTTGAGCCCATCGCCTGCCCCGTAAGTGTCCTCCAGGCTACTGCGGGCCATCGTCCCATTCACTGAGTCCTTGGCCCCTCCAGGCTGTGAGGCGTTAGGCCGCATCATACCTTTCTGCTTCTCCAGCTCCGCTGGGTGGCAGTCGGGGAGACAGGGAGCAAAGGTCAGGAACAGGAGTGAGAGCCCATCTGACTGACCCTAGCCCTCCGTCCTCCTTCCTCCTCCCTCCTCCCTCCCTCTGTCCCCAGGCTTCCTGTATTGCCCCTTGGACGACCAGCCCTTGTCTCCCCCAAAACTGCAGCTCCATCACCGAAGTACCCTTAGTGCCCAGCTCCTGTCTTGCACCCTCCCTTCCTGCTCAGCCTTCCCTTCATCCCTCTTGGTGCCTGCTCTCCCTGTTCCATTTCCCTTCCTTTCACTCTTATGACTTCTCCCCTCCCATGCCCTCTTGCAGTCAGGTCTCCCAAAGCACCCCTGCCCTTCAAAAAAGAGCTTCATGGCAGATGGTTCACAGTAAGGATGGGAAGGCCCTTCTAGCCTATGGCAAAGGGCAATCTTTCCAGAGTTCAGTCAGTTCTCAGATACCTTGCTCCAGAGCAGAGGGGCTCCTGGAAGGGCAGGAGCAGGAAACTGACAGGAATCAAATCCTCTATTAAGTGCCAGGCAGTATGCTGGGTGCTACACATACTTGATCTCTCTCAATCCTCACAACAGTTCTGAGGTCAGTATTAGCATCCACATTGTGCAGAGGAGGAAACTGAGAATCCGAGAAGTCTTAGAACTTGCCCAGGGTCATACAGCTGGAAATGGCGGAGCCGACATTCTGGAAGCAGGTCTGCCTGATTCCAGAGCTTGGGTGCTTCCGGCCTCCTTACAGCCCCACCTCCCCACAGAGCTCATAGAAACACGTGTCTACTGGCCTCCCCTTGTCTTGGGCTGCTAATCCCTCTCTCAGGATTTTCCCAGGGTCTCAAAGGATCTGGCGAACTGAAATTTCTATCCCTGCCTCGCTGAGGAGTAGAGTGGCCCTGGAGCTGTGAAGGCCTCACCAAGGAGCTGTCCGCCGCCTCGTCTCTCTCTTTCTGTCTGCCTGCCTCTTTCTCCTTAACACCATGTTACTTAACTGTGACTGCTTAGCCTGGAGAAGAGAAAACTTGGAGGGCATCGGAAGGAATGAGATGTAATCACTATTTTCCATTATATATATATGATCAAAATGACTTGGTGTGACCCCTGGAGAGGATAGGCCACTGGGACTCAGCTCAGGAATTGATATGTGCGCAGAGGAGGAGAGAGAGTGGGACAAGGAATACAGATTTTTTGAATGCCTAAGATGTGTTGGGACATTTCGGCTACCTTGTCTCATTTCATCTCCTTGACTCCGTGAAGGAGACTTCATTACCCCAAATTCATGTAGGAAGAAACTGGGGCTAGGCGGGTTAGGCAATTAGCTCCAGTTCACCCAGATAATGAATAGCATACCTGGGATCTAAAACTACAGTCCTACCTCTAATACTCTGATTCTTCTCCCTGATACCTTTCACTAGAAGGAATAGTTGGCTCATAATTAGAGTTTGGGATAATAATGGGGCTGGGAGGTAATGAGCCCCTTGTCACTGAAGGTGTTCAAGCAGAGGCTGAAGAATTCTTGAAATGAGCATGGGAAGGTTGGACAAGCTAACCCTCAACTCTGAGATTCTCAGAGGATAGGATTCTTGGTTTCTGCAGGGCACTGTTTCAGGAGATGGGGGAGGAGACGTGGCTGGGCTACTCACACTCCACACGGTATTTCTCCATCTCCTGCACCTCCGCAATGGATTCGCGCAGGTCGGATGTAAAGCGCAGCCGGTCCTGGAGGCTGGGGGCATTGAAGATGATGAGGACTTTTCGCTCCCCACCAGGTACTGCAGACAGCAACTTGATCCCAAACTGGTAATCTGTGGAGAAAGGGGAGACTGGGCACCTCTGTTGGGATTGGTGGAGGTGGCTCATACCTAAAATAATTTTTCTTTTCTGTTCTTTTTTTCCTGAGATAACATCTCTCTGTCACCCAGGCTGGAGTGCACTGGTGTCATCATGGCTCATTGCGGCCTTGAACTCCTGGGCTCAAATGATCCTTCTGCCTCAAGTCTCCTGAGTAGCTGGGACCATGGGCACGCACCATATGTGCAGATAATTTTTTTTATTTTCAGTAGAGATGGGGTCTTACTATATTGCCCAGGTTGGTCTCGAATTCCTGGGCTCAAGCAATCCTCCTGCCTTGGCCTCCCAAAATGCTGGGATTACAGGTGTGAGCCGCCACACCTAGCCCATGAAATAATTTTTCTACTGTCTAACTCTGATCATGCCTCTTCTCCATTTGAGCATATTTAGCAGCTCCCCTTTGCCCCAAAGCCCTCAAACTCCTGGTAGCTGTGGCCCCCTTACTTCCTGTACTGCAGGATGTAAAGGCATACAACTCTGCACTGCTGTCTTGAAACTCTTTTCTTCTCACCTCTACCTCAACTCACATTGCTACTGCTGCCCAGAGTACCATGAAACAAAGCTCCTCCTGGTTCATCCTTCAGAGCACAGCGTGATCACCATCTCTTTGGCCCACCAGAGAACACATGCACTGTGGTTCTCTGCAAGACTATGAGCTAACCAGGGGCTAGACCCGAGTCATACTCCACCCTGGCCTGCCCCTCATCCTGGGACCAAGTAGGTGCTTTGAAGACCCTTAGCCTGGTTGTAACGGACTCCAAAAACTGGAGCTGGTAGAGATAACGGGTGAGCATGGGGGCCATGACATAGACTCTCAGGAGCTGGGATCCAAGAAGGGACTCACATGAATTCTGGAAGAGCTGCATGTGCATTTCCACGAGGGGGAAAGACTGACGGAAACTGTACGTCACCAAGATCTTCTTCTTCTGGAAAATTTTGGTGACCTTCGGCAGGGGTGGGAAAAAGACAAGAGGCAGCGTTTTGGGTGGGGAATTTCCACGTGGCACCTATTTCTGGTAACCACCCTCCCCTCCCATCCCATTAACAGACATACACACACAAATACACATGCCCACAAGCTGGGGAGAATGGAAGCTTGAGGGACAGAATGGGAGACATGGAAGAAAACGCAAGTTCCTGATGTGATGACCACGCACCACAGACATTTACCACATTTCCAGGAACTAACTGAATCCTGCTCCCTCCAGGAAGCCTGCTCCAACATCCCACAGAGATTTGTAAACCCCTTTTCTGAGCTCCAGAATGATGATTCAGTACCTTTCCCTTGTCAGGCGCTATGCTAGTCCTCTGAGTGTGTGATCACCCCCTGCTGGACTGGAAGGCAGGAGTCTGGTTATCGGGTTCTGTCACCGGGCCTCACCAGAGCCTGCACTTAAGGGCAATCTCTGCTGAACCCATGTAGAGAGTTAACAAGTCTTCCTCTCAACAACCCAACGTCTTTGTCGAGTACTTGGGCACTCTGGACTCAACTAACATAGGTTGCAAACACCTCAGGCGGTCTGCAAGTGGCTCATAAAAGGAAATGTTTTGATTTCAGGATGGCATAATGACACAAAGCACTTTTTTAGGTCCTTTGGGCTGTGAGCTCCCTGAGAACAGGGACTCATTCTGATTCATCCTGGCATACGCAGTGCCTAGCATACAGCTGGACACACACCAGTTTCAGTACCTGAGGGATGTCTACACATTGACTGTGTGGGCCAGGTACTCCTCGGGGTGAGGCAGATTCCACATATAACCTCTTATTTCATTTCATCCTCATAACAACCCTGTGAGGTAGGGGTTAGCTCCATTTCACAGAGGAGGAAACTAAGGCTCAGAGGGAGAATGGAAATACTTCAGCTAAAGCAGCAATCCTCAACTGGGGGTGATATTGCCCCCAGAGGACATGGAGCAATATCTGGAGACATTTTTGGTCGAAGGGTTGCTACTAGCACCTAATAGGTAGAGACCAGGGTGCTGCTAAACATCCTACAGTGCACAGGACAGTCCCTGCAAAGAATTATCCAGCCCCAAATATCAACAGTGATGAGACTGAGAAACCCTGCTCTAAAGGAGAGACCACAGTGGGAACAGGATCACTGTCCTCAAAACCCTGGAGAGTTGTCTTGGAGCAGAAGGACAACACTTGTTCTTTGTGATGCCAAAGGTTAAGTGCAGATGGTTGGAAGAAACCCACAGGGAGACAGATTCTAGCAGTCGGAGCTGCCTAACAAGGCAACTGGCTGCCTTAGAGGAAGGCGGTTTTCTGTCCCTACAGTCATACATCCAGTGGGCCATCTAGGAAGCTGGACCCTGAAAGTCCCTTCCAACCAGCAAAGTCCTAAGAGTCCCATCCCTAAAAGACAAACATCTCTATTTGTAATGAGCTCAGTTTTAAGAATCACTTCAAGCATCTTTTGTTTTTTCTTTTTTTTAGACAGAGTTTCACTTGTCGCCCAGGCTGGAATGCAATGGAGAGGTCTCAGCTCACTGCAACCTCCGCCTCCTGGGTTCAAGCGATTCTCCTGCCTCAGCCTCCCCAGTGGCTGGGACTACAGGCACGGACCACTATGCCCAGCTAATTTTTTATATTTTTAGTAGAGACGAGGTTTCTCCATGTTGGCCAGGCTGGTCTCGAACTCCTGACCTCAGGTGATCCACCCGCCTCGGCCTCCTAAAGTGTTGGGATTACAGGCATGAGCCACCGTGCCTGGCCCAAGCATCTTTTTCAAATTTTGTTTTTATTATTTGTGTATTTATTTATTTATTTAATTTTTTGAGACAGAATCTGGCTCTGTTGCCCAGGTTGGAATGCAGTGGTACAATCACAGCACACTGCAACCTCTGCCTCCTGGGCTCAAGTGATCCTCCTGACTCAACCTCCCAAGTAGCTGGGACTACACACAACAGGTACACACCACCATGCCCAGCTAATTTTCGTATTTTTTGTGGAGACAGGGTTTCGACATGTTGCCCAAGCTGGTCTCAAAACTCCTGGGCTCAAGTGATTCAAACTGCCTTGGCCTCCCAAAGTTCTGGGACTGTAGGCGTGAGCCATGGTGCCCGGCCCACTTCAAGCATCTTGATTACTGAAGATTTCTAGACTGACCTGGGGGTCACAGGTTCACCCCTCTTCACACAACCCTATGGGCTACTGAGGTGGACAAGGATATTCCCTACCACTTCCCAGGTTGTAAGTCTGTCATCCCTTTGGTCCTCATATATTCTGTCCCTGTGCATCTGTTACTATCTCCAAATGAATCTGTGAGGAAAAGGAGGGGCAGAGAAGGCCTGGGCCTTGCCTGAGACCATGCAGATGGCATGGCAGAGCACCTCGCCTGCGACACTCCACACACCACACCACACACCAACATCAACATGGTTTACACCAGACTCAGGTGTCAACCTCACTATCCCCCTTCCATCTCCTCCCCCACAGTGCTCATACCACAAGGAGATCATTGAAGAGGAAGACCTCTCGCTGATGCAACCCTAGCCTCTGGGGGCGGTTTGGATCTGGTACCTCGTAGAGCTGGCAGCAGCAAACCAGTCGACGGTGAGGGAGAGACAGGACCTAGACAGGCATGGAGAAACAGGTGTCAGCAAGGCCAGCCCACAGCTTCAGGCCTCCTGGCACCTTAAGTTTCAACCGCAAAAAGTTTACCTCTCATACATGTGTATCACTCTGACACAAGGGGTATCAGCAACTAAGGCCTAAACTTTTCTTCTACCTTGCCTTTGTCCCTCTGTCTGGAATATCTTTCTTGTCCAGCTCTGCATGGTCATATTTCAACTCCCCTTCAAATTTCCATCCCAGCCAGGCACAATGGCTCATGCCTGTAATCCCAGCACTTTGGGAGGCCGAGGTGAGCGGATCACCTGAGGTCAGGGGATCGAGACCAGCCTGGCCAACATGGTGAAACCCCGTCTCTACTAAAAACACAAAAATTAGCTGGGTATGATGTTTGGCGCCTGCAATCCCAGGTACTCAGTAGGCTAAGGCAGGAGAATCGTTTGAACCTAGGTGGTGGAGGTTGCAATGAACCAAGATCATGCCACTGCACTCCTGCCTGAGTGACAGAGTGAAACTCCATCTCAAAAAAAAAAAAGAAAAGAAAAATTCAATCCCAAAATTATCTCTTCCAAGAAGCCTTCCCTGATTTCTCCAGGCTGAAAACGGCCTCTTTCTCCTTTCTCCTCTCCTAAACTGGACCATAAGGCAGAAGTATTATATGTGTCTTTGTCTCACACCCCAACTGGTCTGTGAGTGCCCCCAAGGACAGAGACCACGTCTGACTCATATATATGAATGCCCAGCACCAACTCTGGTGCCCAGTAAAATGTTGGGCTCAGTGGAAAGGCATCCACAAATGTTTGTTGGCTAAAGCCTGTTCTTCTTTTTTTTCTTTTTTTCAGATGGAGCCTTGCTCTGTCACCCAGGCTGGAGTGCGTTGGCATGATCTCAGCTCACTGCAATCTCCACCTCCTGGGATCAAGCGATTCTCCTGCCTCAGCCTCCTGAGTAACTGGAACTCCGGGCATGCACCACGACGCCTGGCTAATTTTTGTATTTTTAGTAGAGACAGGTTTTGCGATGATAGCCAGGCTGGTCTGGAACTCCTGACCTGAGGTGATCCGCCCACCTCGGCCTCCCAAAGTGCTGGGATTACAGGCACAAGCCATTGCACCTGGCCTAAAGTGTGTTCTTGATTTGGTTTTCTGATAACCATTAGCTTGGCCCTTCACTTAGGATGGACAGGCAAAGCCAGAGGCGAAAACGACGTTAATATTTATACAGTACCCACTATGGGCCTTGGAATGTGCTCGATGCATTCACTCTGCATCACAGCCTTCTGAGGAATGCATTATCACCCACTCCGTATTGCAGGTAAAGGCACCTGGGGCTCAGGGAGGTGCAGTGACTCAGGAGGTGCACTTAGTGGCAGAGGCAGACCTGAACCCTGGCCCCTCTGCAGCCTTCCAAGGCACTTACTGGTTTCTTTCCAACAATCATGCGCTCCACAGCCTGCACCTGGGACACATGGTCATCGTTGGTCCGCAGTTCACGCCCCTGGATGCGCTGGTAGATGCCCACCAGGAGGTCTCGGGGGATGTCTTCACCATTGTCAACCCCTGGGGGAGGGAGTAACACAGGGATATGTCACATAATTATGGGCACTGGGTGGTAGGGATGCTCCACAACTCCCACACCCAGGCACGGGCCATGACAGTCATGACTGAGGGTCAGTGGGTATCCTCAGCCCCTTAGCCAGGATTGGGGCAGGGAGGATGTCCTTCAACACAACAGCCAGTTGCTGTCTTCCCCGGGGTGGGGAATTTTCTCTCAACAACTCAGAATACACTGTAATTAAAACAATGAGATACCATTGTTCGCCTTTCTAATTAGCAAAAATAATTTTAAATGAAATCCAGTGCTAGGAAGAGTGCAGGGAAGTGGGCATGTATGGTAACATAACTCTTTTGGAAGGTAATTTGGCAAGAATCTAAATGTTTGTACACAGTGATTCTTCTTCTAGGAATCTACCTTAAGGAACTACTCAGAAATATGTGCAAGATGTATGTGCAAGAATGCTAGTGCAGGCCGGGCATGGTGGCTCATACCTGTAATCCCAGCACTTTGGGAGGCCGAGGCGGGCAGATCATGAGGTCAGGAGATCAAGACCACCCTGGCCAACATGGTGAAACCTCATCTCTGCTAAAAATACAAAATATTAGCCAGGCGTGGCAGCGTGTGCCTGTAGTCCCAGTTATTCGGGAGGCTGAGGCAGAATTGCTTGAACCCGGGAGGCAGAGGCTGTAGTGAGCCAAGATTGGGCCACTGCACTCCAGCCTGAGCAACAAGATTGAGACTCTAAAAGAAAAAAAAAAAGAAAAAAAAAAAAAAAAGATTGCTAGGACCGGTGTAGTGTAATCCCAGCACTTTGGGAGGCTGAGGCAGGTGGATCGCTCGAGCCCAGGAATTCGAGAGCCAACCTGGGCAACATGGCAAAATCCCATCTCTACAAAAAATACAAAAATTAGCTGGGTGTGGTGGCACACACCCGTGGTCCCAGCTACTTGGGAGGCTGAAGTGGGATAATAGCTTGAGCCTGGGAGGAGGAGGTTGCAGTCAACCATGATTGCACCACTGCACTCCAGCCTGGGCAACAGAGCAAGACCCTGTCTCAAAAAATAAAATAAAATAAAAAGAATACTCACCAAGTGTTACTTATGGGGACAATTTGAAACAACCTAAATTTTAACAATAGAGGAACAGTTAAGTAAAGGATAGTATATCCATTTAATAAAATAATGCACAGCTATTAAAAACTTGACATTTACAAAAACATTTCGATAGCTTGAGAAAACTACAGTAGCAAATTATGTGAAAAGAGTAAGACAAATTGCATGTATGGTATGATCTGAACTATATAAAAAGTTACATATGCATGGGGGAAAAGATTAGAACGCACCAAAACATTCACTATGATTGCCTCTAGGGGGCAAATTGTGGGTGATAAAAAGAAATTTTCTAATTTTCTGAATCTTCCAACATTTCTGAAACAAGTATGTATTACCTTCATTTATTTGCTTCTTTATTTAATAATTAGAGGGGAAAAGATACACACACACACACACACACACACACACACACACATATTGAGAGACAGAGGGAAAAAGAATGGATGAATGAATGATGGCAAAATTATAGGAGACAGCTCCAAATGGCCTCTGATCTAACTCCCTCCTCCCATCTTCACCATCCTTCTCCATTTCTGATTGCTGAGTGAAACCTACTCACTCTTCTCTCTAAATGCTCTACTAGAGAAAATGTTTTCTGGGCAGGACGTGGAGGCTCACACCTGTAATCCCAGCACTTTGGGAGGCTGAGTTGAGGCAAGGAGTTTGAGACCAGCCTGGGCAACATAGCAAGACCCCGTCTCTACAAAAAATTTAAAAATTAGTTGGGCATGGTGGCCCGCGCTGATATTCCCAGCTACTCAGGAGGCTGAGGTGGGAGGATCGCTTGAGCCCAGGAGTTCAAGGCTGTAGTGAGCTCTGCTAGCACCACAGCACTCCAGCCTGGGTGAGAGAGTGAGACCCTGTCTCTGAAAATAAAAAACCAAAAAACAGAAAACAAAAAGGAGAAAATGTTTTCTTCCTTGGAAATGCCACATCTCCTCCTTGGACAGGTGCTAAAGGAACATTCTATATCACACTGACTTTCTTACCAGAGCAGCCACAGCTGCACAAATCCAATGGGCAGCCAATTTGTCTTGTTTTCAGTTTGCTTTTTTCCTTTGACTCTATTTCCCTCTTTCTTTTCTGCTTAAATAATCTTAACATCTGTACCATTTTTAGTAGGCTGCTCTTTGGTGATAGGGAGGGCTCGACATCAGTAGAATAAGCAAAAAGAGCAAGGTGACACCTTTCATCTGGCATTCAAGGCCCTCATATATTAGTTCCATATATTAGAACCTCATATATTGGGACCTTCCCAACCCATCAATGACCTCATCTCAATTGTTCTTCTTTTTTTCTTTCTGAAGACAGAGTCTTGCTCTGTCACTCAGGCTGGAGTGCAGTGGTGCAATCTTAGCTCACTGCAACCTCTGCCTCCCGGGTTCAAGTAATTCTCCTACCTCAGCCTCCTGAGTGGCTGGGATTACAGGCATGCACCAACATGCCTGCTAATTTTTGTATTTTTAGTAGCGACGGGGTTTCCTCATGTTGGCCAGGCTGGTCTGGAACTCCTGGCCTCATGTGATCCACCTGCCTCAGCCTCACAAAGTGCTGGGATTACAGGCGTGAGCCACCGTACCCAGCCCTCAGTTGTTCCCTAAAGAAAATAAATGTTCCTGCCTCTGCATCTTTGGTATTCTCACTGGTAGGTAAGCCCTCCTCTATCTCTATTGTGTCACCTTCTCCATGCCTTCAAGACCCACCTTAAAATAAAAATACTGCCTCCTCCGGGAAGCTAGCTAGAGGTGGGCTCTTCCTCCTTTGAGCTCTGACTGCACTTTTGGCCTCTCTGATGTCACTGTTCACTTTCTGTCTTATGTTAGTTATCTGGGTGCTACAAGTCAGCCTCTCCCACACACGGGGAGCTCTCTCAGAACAGGGAGTATGGCAGATTCCTCTCCATTGTCCTTGGCACCCATCATGGGGCTTGGCACACACTAAGTGCTAAGTGTTGACTGGCTGGCTGGTTGTTTGGTCAAGCGATAAATGAATGCATGAATAGAGGAAAAGATACGCAAAATAATTAAATGAGTCCTCATGGGCATAAATAAGAGAGGGAAAGAGGGAGTGAGGAAAAGAGAAGTGAATGACTGAATGAATGAATCAGAATAAAGCCTTGTAAGAGTCAGGACTTTAATCTATCATGTTCACTGCTTGAACCCCAGGACCTAGAAACCTGGTGCACAGTAGAAGCTCAGTACAATGGGCAAATGACGATTTGAGTGAATTAATAAGTGAATATTCTGGGAACATCCAGCTAGGGCAGAAAGTGACAGCATCACCAATTAATTTCCAAGGAACAGATGGGATCTCCTGCATCCTTCCCCACCTTAACCCCCACTTTCCCTTCCCAGGTGAAGGGCAGGAAAGGCTGATAAGGAAGTCACCTCTCAGGTTCTTGATGAAGTCATCTAGTTTCATCTTTCGTTCAGCCTTGACGCTGGGACTGTACATGTCGGTATTGAGGAGGATGATGGCAAAAGCAAGGATGAAGATGGTGTCTGGGTTCCGGAACTGGCGCACAAGGGCTGGGTTACAGACACAGTACCGCTGGCTGCAGGGCAGGAGGGGTCAAAGCCAGACTCAGGAAGCAGCCATCTCTGCCTACCCACCACCCACCCAGTCTGATACCAGCACCCCATTCCTGCAAGAAATACTTTCTTGATCTCTGGGTCTGTCCTCTTCAGAGCTTCCCCTAGACCAGCATGTAAAAATTACAATCGCTACCTTTTACAGAGCTCTTCCAGGGGATTTATGTACATTGTTTCATGTAATCCTATCATAATCCTGCAAGGTAGCTATTGGCAGTCCCATTTTAAAGATGAAGCGACTGAGACTCAAAGTGACAAGGTAACTCGCCCAAGGTAACAGAGCTGGTAAATGGTGAAGCCAGGATGAAAACCCAGATATTTCTAACTGCAAAGCAAATCCTTCCCCCATTGCGGGAAACAAGTTCTCAGCAACTCCTGTTTCTCTTCTAAATACCCTAAAGTGGCAGAGCCAGGATTTAGACCCCGGCCTACCTGATCTCCAAAGCATTTATAGTAGAGTAAAATGGTTAAGGGCATGGATGGATCATGGACTTAGACACATACAAGTTCAAATCCTGGTTCTACCACTTATTCACTGTATGACCCTGGGCAAGTTACTTAACCTCTCTAAACTTCTGATTTCTCCTCTGTAAAATCGGAATAATAATAGAAGTGCCTACTTTATGGGGTGGTTGTGATTATTCGGTGAAATAATCGTGTAAAGTGCTCAGCTCAGCACCTGATACCTAATAAGTACTCCGTGAATGTTAGCTGTTATTGCTGATGTTGTTGTCACTTATCGAATGCCCATGTCCCAGAGGCTGAGCTAGATACTTTACATGCACTACCTCTGATCCTCACAATTGCCTTGCAAGATAGGATTTATCATTTCTGTTTTATGGTGAAGAAAGTATGAGGCTCAGAGAAGTGACTTGTAAACACATACTACGTCGATGCCCACAGGAGGGAGGGGCAGCTTCACAAGTGGGAGACAGGCACACCTGAAGGCTTCGATGAGTCGCTCCACTTTCTGGGCCTCACCCTGAACCCGGATATGGGACTGGAACTTCCGGAGTGCATCATCCAGATCCATTGAGGAGAAGTCCATCTCATCCACCACACAGCTAAGGAGCAAAGAAGGGGGTGTGGTGCCTTCAATTCCTCTGCAGAAAACCTCTGACCCACCTGGACCTGCTCAAATGGACCAACACCCCCACTGATACACTCCCAAATTCAGGACCCATGGCCCGAGCAAGTACACATGAGGACAGAATGTTTGAAATCAAATCCATCTCAGAAAATTGAGGCAAGGCATGTGGTCACTAAAGGCCCTTTCCATCGAGCCACTCATTTCAGAGACGGGCAAACTGAGGCCCAAAACAGGCCACAGGATGAGCACGTCTTGACCAGGGCCACATAGAAGACTTTAGGAATAGAGCCAAACAAGATCAGACCCCTTTGGGGCAGAAGGGTACGGGGGCAGGAAGGTCTATTCATCCTGTTTTGAAAAGTTTATTTGAGCTAAAGGGACAGGCTGCCCCCTTCCTCCCTCTTGCTGTCCTTTTCCAGGAATCCCTGGCCCAGCCTGCCCCATCCTGGGGTCCTCACTCCAACACGTCTCTGTTGAACTGCTTCTGCCGGTTCCCTAGGAATTCCCCTATCATCTGCCGGCTGAGGCCTTTCCGCTCCAGGATGAAGTGAGCCACTCCCACCGGTGTGTCTGACAGGAAGCCCCGCTCGATCAGATACTGGATACCCTTCTCTGGCTTCCTGCAGAAAGAGGGGAGGTAGATGAGATGACTGTCCTCCTGGAACTGTGCTCTCTGTCTCATTTGTTGAACTCATTTTGGGCCCAACTAAGTCCGGCCTCAGAGGACCAACGAAGTCAAATACATAATTTGATCCAATCCCATCATGGCGCAAATGAGAAAACTGAGGCCTAGAGAGAAGAAGCCACTTGCCCATTTCGAGGAGCTTCAAAATCCCAAGGTATCTTGAACCCAACATCCCCCTTCACTGGAGCTACACCACAATAGAAAGAAAATCAGTATCTAATGAGAGCCCGCTCTACGCCAGGAGCTCTGACCTTCCCAGCAAGAACCAAGGAGCAAGGTTGAGCACCTTCCCTGTGAGTCACAGACCCTCAGAGTAGGGAAGAAGTGAAGAGGTTACTTTGTTCCATATCCCACATCCCACACAGGCAGGTCTCACCAACTTCCTCTGAGTGTTTCTATAGACAAGGTGCTCCCTAGATTTCCAGGGAGCTGGGCCAAAATCTGGGTCACAGTTATCCCATATTCAGAACCCCAGAACCTTAGGACCCCACAAGGTTAAAATTTAGAAGGGACTGGTGCCATAGGAGTCTCAGATCCGTCACTTCCCAGTTGTATGACTTTGGACAATTCCTTTTACTTCTCCAAGCCTTGGTTCCTTATCTACAAAACAGGAACACTACTGCCTGCCTTGCTGAGTTATTGTAAGAATTAAATATAGGTGGCAGTGTTTAATAAGCTATAAAGATGTAAGGCATTCAAGTAATGGCTTATATTACATTTAATGTTTTCTAATTACATCTCATGTTTTCCAATATTTTCTAATCAAATGTCACACTCCCACCTCACTCCTAAACACCTGGCAGAAGACCAGGCACCTAGGAAGAGCTTAGTCACAGTCACTGAAGGGTCCAGCACACCACCCTGCCCCCAACATCTCTCACATACACATTCTGCTAGTGGTAGGTGGAAAAATAGAAGCCCAGGGGAGGAATGCACCTTGCCCAGGGCTATGCAGCGAGTCTGGCCAAAGGCCCACTCAGGGGCCAGATCTCCTGTTTCCCAGGCTAGGGCTCTTTCTACATCATATCACCTCCCCTCTAAAAAGGGAAGGTGGGGAGGACAAGTTTCAGAATCCATTTAGTGGGGTCATCTCACCCAAGATCACACAGTCAGCCAGAGGCAGTACTAGGACTGCCCAGGTGTGTTAAGGGACTCTCTGCTCTTTCACCCTGTTGCCAATCCTCTTCCCTGAATGTCTGGGGAGAAATACCGTTCCACAAAATGAAAGGATGACAGAACTGGGATCACTGCGTGGAGTTCTGTCCCAGGAACCCAAGTACCCGTGGCAGGGTAGGAAAGGGCGAGCAGGCTAGAATGGGCAGCACGCACTTGTTGAAAAGGTTGAGGCCGATTCGGTAGTGCCGCCTCTGGACCACATCATTGTTGAAAGCTGGCGAGTCCCAGCTGTGCCTTGTCTCCCGCTGGTAAGTCTGCTTGCACAGGCCAGTGGCCGGAGGCTCCCTTAGACTGTCCCGAGAAGAGGAGCCGGAGCTGCAGTTGATGGTCTCATTGGAATTGCTGGAGCTCTCGAGGCTCTCATTATCTCCACCATCAGAGTTCTCGCCTGCTGCCTCGCACTTCCCCAACCTCCGACCCCCAGCCACACCACTGGGCCCAGTGCCACTGTTGGGGGCTGGTGGCAGGGGCCCTGGTGGGGCTGGGGCTGGGCCCTCAGGGGCTGGGTAGTGGCGGTGTGGGATCGGGGCCCTGCCTGGTGGCCCCTTGTGCTTCAGGGTCCCATGGGGGCTGCAGCCATCAGCCTCATACACCAGCTGGCGGTGGACAGAGCCGCGATCTGAGCGGTCACTCAGGTCCACGGAGCTGTCACTAGGAGGCTCAATGGTAAGCAGGGGAAGGTGGGCGGCCCGCAGCCGGAAATCCCGGCACTCCAAGCACCCGGGACCCCTGCGAGTGCCTTCCTCACGGCTACCGTCTTCCCGGGTTCCTGATGGCACTGGTGGAGGAACTGGCGGGAGAGGGGCTGGCGCCCAGAACTCGGGCCGGCCCTGGGGTGGGGGTTCTGTGCTGGGCAGTCGCTCAGGGGATTGTTGGGGAACTGTGTCATCCAGGTAGAGGGGAAGGTCACTGAAGGATGTGGCCGAGCTGTCCTCTTGCTGTTCCTTTGACTCCCGCTTCTCCAGCTGGGCTGACCCTGGCTCCTCAGACATGGGCCCTGACGGGTGGCAGTTCAGGGCTTCGTCGATGGATTCAGCCAGAGACTTTACCTGTGCAGGCGGGAGAGGAGAGGAGGGAAAGGGAGAGAAAAGAAAGAAAGATAAAGGGAAGAATAGTGGAAAGTGGGAATGAGGGAGGGGGTAAGGGAAAAGGGGGAGTCTTCCTGGTAGGTCAGCAAGGAGGGTGGATTCCCCTCCCCCAGCCCTTACAAACTCTCTGTGGTCTATAAAATGACTCCCAGGGAACCATTGTGAGCTCACAGGAGCTGGGACTAATGCCCACGAGTTCCCCCACTCAGCTCACACCCCGATACATCCTTTGTGTCCATTTAGACTCAAGCCAAATGTTACCTCCTCCCTGATTCAAGCCACATTCTTGCCTCTGCCATCCCCCAGGGTCAATCAAAATCCCAGCTTCCTCTGTGGGAATTCTCTTAGGAAATCCATAACATTTGACCTTGAGCGTCTGGACCACAGCTGGTAATGCTCTTTCCCTGTGGTATCCAGACTCTAAACTGACCGCTCATGATCCCTGCCTCCTGGTATTCACACCCTAGGGTACCACATTGTACCAGAGTTAGTCTGTGTGACAAACAGCATATGGCAGAAGTGAATGTATGTCACTTCTGAAATTAGGTTTTAAAAGACTGCAGAGGCTGGGCATGGTGGCTCATGCCTGTAATCCTAGCACTTTGGGAGGCCAAGATGGGAGGATCCCTTGAGCCCAGGAGTTCAAGAAAAGCCTGGGCAACATGGCGAGACTCTACCTCTACAAAAAATAAAAACATTAGCTGGGTGTGGTGGCACACACCTGTAGTAGTCCCAGTGACTCAGGAGAGTGAGGCAGGAGGATCACTTGAGCCCAGGAGTTTGAGACTGCAGTGAGTTATGATCACGCCATTGCACTCCAGCCTGGCAACACAGCAAGATCCTGTCTCTAAAATTTTTATTTGTTTTTTTGAGACAGAGTCTCACTCTTGCCCAGGGTGGAGTGCAGTGGCACGATCTCAGCTCACTGCAACCTCCAACTCCCAGGTTCAAGCGATTCTCCTCCCTCAACCTCCCCAGTAGCAGGGATTACAGGCGCGCACCACCATGTTTGGCTAATTTTTATATTTTTAGTAGAGACGGGGTTTCGCCATGATGGACAGGCTGGTCTCAAACTCCTGACCTCAGGCAATCCGCCTGCCTTGGCCTCCCGAAGTGCTGAGATTACAGGTGTGAGCTACTATGCCCGGCCAAAAAAAAATTATTTAAATTTAAAAAAAAAAGACTGCAAAAAAATGTTTTTTAATTTACAAAATTAAAAAAAAAAATTTAAATGACTGCAGCTTCCATCTTGAGCACTCTTGGTCGCTTGTCACTTGTACTCTTTCTCTCAGACCCCCCAACCTGGGGAAAGCCCATCACGAACAGTCCTATAGAGAGGCCCACAGGGTGAGGCATTGAATCCTCCTGCCAACAGCCAAGTGAGTGAGCTTGAAAGCAGACTGCCAGCCCCAGTCTAATCTTCAGATATTGCAGGCTCTCCCTACAGCTTGACTGCAACCTCATGAAAGGCCCTGAACCAAAACCACTCAGCCATGCTATTCCCAGCTTCCTGGCCCCCAGAAACTGTATGAGATAATAAATGTTTATTGTTTAGGCTCAGTCTCTTGGGTCAGTTTTAAGCTACCAAATTTGGGGGTAATTTGTTACACAGCTAACAGATAACGGATATACATCCCCATCAGACTTCAATAGCACTCAGAGCTGGGACCAGACCTGGTTCCCAGACTGATCTCCTATTTCCCATTCCTCCCTTGAGGGATGGATCCAGGCCTGGTTTCTCTTTCTAGCTCAGCTCAACACATTGCTTGACACAGAAGAGATGTTCAATTAAATCGTTGTGGTATGAATGAACAGATAAATGATATAGATCTTCCTTTCAATATTCCTGTCCTTCCCTCCACCTCTTCACCAGGTCCAAGGAGGCATGCCCAGGCTGATGGCAAGGCCAGATCATAGAGGTTAGAGCAGAGTGACTTTTTCTCTTTTTATTTTTATTTTTATTTTTTTTCTGAGACGGAGTCTCGCTCTGTCCCCCAGGCTGAAGTGCAGTGGCCAGATCTCAGCTCACTGCAAGCTCCGCCTCCCGGGTTTACGCCATTCTCCTGCCTCAGCCTCCCGAGTAGCTGGGACTACAGGCGCCTGCCACCTCGCCCGGCTAGTTTTTTGTATTTTTTAGTAGAGACGGGGTTTCACTGTTAGCCAGGATGATCTCGATCTCCTAACCTCGTGATCCGCCCGTCTCGGCCTCCCAAAGTGCTGGGATTACAGGCTTGAGCCACCGCGCCCGGCCGTGACTTTTTCTCTTATAAAGCTTCATCCATTCATTCAACAATCTCTACCAAGTACCTTCTTGGTTTTAGGAAGAAAACTAACATGTACTTAGCAGCTACTATGTACTAGGCGTTTTCATATATATTACCTGTATAGTTGCACTGAGTCTTCCAAATAGCTCTAAAAGGGTTTTCTCTCCATTTTATTTTCTCTCCATTTTATTGATCATGTTTCCGTGTGGTTAAACAGTTTGCCAAGGCCACACAGTTGGGAAATGGCAGAACTGGGATTCACACCTGGGCAAGTATGTTGACACACCCCAACCCTAGAACGATCTCCCACTACCTTTACTGCGTTACAATCCCACCCCTCCACGCTTTTGCTGATGCAACGCCTATGTAAGCAACACCCTTCCAAGTATTTCTAACTTGCTAAATCTTTTCTGTCTGGCAAGGCCCATCTCCAGTGCTGTTTTCTCAAGTGGGTTTTCTGTGGTTCTCCCAGAAGAAAGTTTCCTCCCCTTCCTCTGGGTTCCCAAGGTACCATACATTGTACTATAGCCTTTCTCATGACTCAGAGCACACTCTACTTCAGGAGACAGTAATGCACACATGTCTGCCATTTCCTACTGCACTGGGATCCTTGAGGATAAGGACCAATTCCAGGTCCTTAGCCTCAGTCTCCTCCTCTATTAAATGGGAATAATAATCCCTGTCTCACAGGTCTGGTGTGAGGCATACACAGCACTGGCACACAGTAGGAGCTCATTACCTGTGAGTTAAGCTTTATTTTATAGTAGATCAAGTTCCAAGTAGTGAGAACTTTTTTCTTATTTGTTCTATACACCCATATATATTTTTTCCCACAAGAAGGGAACAGCATGGAACACCCATATTTGTAACTTGCTTGTTTTAACAATGTAATTTCTGGCCAGGCGCAGTGACTCACGCCCGTAATCTCAGCACTTTGGGAGGTCGAGGCAGGTGGATCACCTGAGGTCACGAGTTTGAGACCAGCCTGGCCAACATGGTGAAACCCTGTCTCTACTAAAATACAGAATTAGCTGGGCATGGTGGCACATGCCTGCAATCCCAGCTACTCCAGAGAGTGAGGCAGGAGAATCACTTGAACCCAGGAGGCGGAGGTTACGGTGAGCCAGGATCGTGCCATTGCACTCCAGTCTGGGTGTCAAGAGCGAAACTCTGTCTCAAAAAAAAAAAAAAAAAAAAAAGTAATTGCTATCTTGCCAGTTCTTTCTCATTATTCTCACAGTCCCAACTCAAATGGTAGCTATTTGCTGTTATTAAACGCCTGTCACGCAACTTCTTTCAGTTTGCAATCTAGGTAAAAAGTAGCAGGAGTAGCCAGAGCATGGGGATGGAGAAGAAAGGCTCTTTTCAGGGATCCTGACCTGTTTGGAGAAGGAGTCCTCTAGTTCTGTGATGTCATTAGAAAACTCTCCAGATGTGGTGACGGAGCTTCCACCACCATCGATGCCCCCACCACAGGAGCCCCCATATGGGAGCCCCCGTTCAAGCCGGTGGCTCCGGGCACCAGCCATGGCACCCTCGTCCAGCGAGGCAGGCTTGCCCTCGAAGTACGCGGGGTTCTGTGCCTTCTCATACTCCTCAAAGGAGAACTGCATCCGCATGTTGGAAAGGATGATGCGGCGGGACATGCGGCTCTCTGAGGCTGAGCTGCGTAGCCGCTCAAAGTTCTTGTTCATGCGGTACTGGCGGAAGGCTGTCTGGATGGTCCTGGCAGCTCTGCGGCTCAGGAAGGAGCCCCCATACTTCCTCTCCAGCATTTCCACCTGGCAGAGAAGGGTCGAGGGGAACAAGGTCAGAAAGTCATGGCAGCCTCATCTCCCTAGGCACTAAACCACACCACCCCCACTGGAGTCACCGCTGACTGCTTACAGCCACCAAAAGCGCCAGGCTAGGTGCTCAGTGTTGTCTCCTCACTTGAATTTCAGATAACACTGGTCAAATGGGATTGGATTATGTTTTGTTTTCTTATTTGCAAGAAGAACATATTGATCATTTGAAAACAGGAAACAAACAGAGAAGCCGATAAAAAGAAAGCAAGGTAAAAATACATGGAGAGCAAGAAGGAAAGAAAGGAGGAAGAGAGAGAATGAGAAAGGAGAAAGAGAGAGGGAGAGAGAAAGGAAGAGAAGGAAGGAAGGGGAGGAGGGAGGAGGAAAGGGAAGGAGGGAGGGAGGGAGGGAGGAAGGAAGGAAGGAAGGAAGGAAGGAAGGAAGGAAGGAAGGAGGGAATTACCTCCATTCCAAACACCTAACTAGAATATGTCCTTTGGTTTAGGGTATATGTTTTCGTATATGTCCTTCCAGTTTTTTCCTATATGTAGTATTTTGTTTTCCCTCCACCTTTTTTTTAGCTAAATAATCTATTGTATGGCACTCTTCTGAAAAGGTCAACTGATATGTGTGCTTCCCGTTAGACTGAGTTTTTTGGGGACCAGATCCAGGACTCATTCATCTTTACATCTCCAAGACCTGGGCAGGGAGCTCAGTAAATGTTTCTTGAGTGAATACAAGCCTCAGTGGATGGGTGGTGAATGAGTGCATCCCCAGTGGGGTGAAGGGTCCTGGGCCAGTCTTCTCCAACTCCAGCCTCATTTTCCCTCCCTGATTCCACCCCTAAGAGCCACATCCCAAACCCTCCCCTGGCGCTCTCTTGCATCCCGACTCCCATTCCCAACCAGACTGCCTCTTCTGCACCTTCTTGTCCTGCAGGTCTGTGGAGAGTTCATAGCTGTCCGATAGGGCCTTGGAGCGCTTTATCTCCTCCTCCTCCTGCTTCCTCAGGGCGACACTGGCTGGCTGGAGGCGTGCCCGTTGAGCCCAGGGAAGGCCCACTCCAGCAGGGGGGCCCCCCATGTGGCTGCTGGATGGGGGCAGCTGGCTCAGCCGGTAGGGGGGTTGGCTCCCAGGACTATCAACCGCTGTGCTCAGGTCACTGCCTGGGGCATCACCCTCCACACTGTGGGGATGAGATAAGATGAGCCAGGATGTTGGGACAGGAGAGGGGCCTACTGGGCCAGACTGAGAGTGGGTGAGCCAGATCCCTGCCCCCCCATCCCATCCACCCCAGCTTCCTCACAGATATAGGGACCCAACACTTACAGGCCAGGGTGAGTCCTAGCTCTTGGACTGTCTCCCCACTCCCACCCAAGTCCCTTCCCTTCCAGCCCCCTTGCCTTCACAGCAAGATCCTCTTAGACTCCTTTCCCTCAAGGATCTGTTTGGTCCCGTCCTCCTCACCCCTCACAGCCTTCTCCCCGAGACCACTCCCCTCCCAGTCTTGTCTCTTCATGCCCTTTTTTCTGTCCCCTCACAGCTCCACCCCTCCCCACAGACCTCTTCCCCTTACAGCTCCATCCCCTCCTGGCCTTGTCCCCAACACAGTGCGCTGTGATTTCCCTCCCAGTCCGAGTCCCAGCACCACCCCAGATTAGCTTCTTCGAAGCGCCACCCCCTCCCAGCCCTGTCCCAGCTGTGTGGGGCCCACCCCTGCACCCTGCCCACCCAGACTCTCCCCTCACCTACCCAGCCCTGCCCCCTGCAGCCTGGCCCCTGCCCCCTGGTGCCTGAACTCCAGGCCAGGCCAAGCCAGTTCCCAGGGTTCCCTGGCTGCGAGGGCAGGGCCAGCAGCAGGGCAGGGCGAGCAGCGACAGTGGGAGGCGCCTCCCATGCAGCATCCTCACAGGTAAAGAGCAGCCCTGCGGGGCAGCTTCCTTTTTCTCCTCATGGCCTCCTCTGCTCAGCTGGGGAAAGGGGGCAGGGGGGTCTCCACGCGTGGCAGGAGCTGGGCCCCGGGATTGCCCGCCCTGGTTTCCCAGAGCTGTTGTTCCACCAGAACTGCTCCCATGGTGCCATGGCAACCAGGCTGCCAGGGAACCCAGGTGGCGACAGAGCCCAGGCGCCTTGAGCCGAGCCTGCATGGTGAAGAGCTACAGAGGTGGGGAAGACAGGGAAGGAGTCGGGCGGGAAGGAACACGAAGGTGAGGCATGGAGGAGGCTGTGGGGGGAATAGGTGTGGCTGGGACCCAGAGAATGGTCTCATTATGGGGGGCACAAGGTTGGAGGCTCTTGGCTGATAAACAGGCAAAGGGGTACTCCCCAGCCCCTATTTGGCAGAGGGGAAGGCAAAGGGCAGAAATGGGCTGGGGTGGGTACTGGGGGGGACCCTACCAGTGCAGGAGCTTGAGCTGCAACAGGCCTGCCAGCCTTGCAGCAGAGCGCTTTGCACTGGGGGCTGGATGTGGCGTGAAGGCTGCGCCCACGAGGCCCGGTCTCGGGCTGCAGCACTGTGGAGCTCGGCTCCGCCCTGGGGGGAGCTCCCACCCATTGCTCACCCTCCACCCCAAATTCTCTTCCCTCCGGGGCCTGGGACGGTGGCCCTGACATCACCGCCGCTCTAGGGTTCAGCCCCAGCTCAGCCCACCCCCGGCATCCAAGATGTTCCTCTCCTCCCTGCCAGAACTGCAGGATCATGCCCACTAATCTCTCAAACCTCCCCTCCCAGCACACGGCTCAAGCCCAGTTTTGATCAACTGTCTCCTGTATGCATGAACCATCATCTATAACTTCCACTGCTCAGAAGAGATAGCCCAAGTCCCTTATTCTGGCATTTGAGGCTTCTCCAAGATACAACAGCTAATATTTATAGATCATTTAGTACATTTAGGTACCATTGTTACCACTTCACACTGAATAACCTGCTTACTCTTCAAGACAACCATATGATATAGGTACTGTAATTTATCTTCATTTTACACTTAAAGAAACTGAGGCCCAGAGAGGTTAAGTAACATATCTACGGTCACACAGCCACTAATGATAGAGCCCGGATTCAAATCCAGGCAGTCTGACTCCAGAGCCCACACTCTTAAACATTAAGCCATACTTCAGGGTTGGCTGCCAGCCCCCTACTCCATCCACCTGTCATTCCAGCCTGGCCCAGATCCTGCTTTTCCCAAATGCTCCACTGCTTTCTATCTCCAAAACTGCTCATACAGTACCTACCACTTGAAATGCAATCCCCATCGTCTCCGCCATCTGCAATCTGAGAAATTCCCCCACATCCTAGTTCCGTCAAGATTCAGGTCATATGCCACCACTAAGAAGCCCTCCTGAATCCCGCCTCCAGCCAGAAATTATTGCTGATCCTGTTCAGAGCTCCCACACACAGCACATGTCTGTCCTGCTTTTTATGGCACAGGTTAGCTTTGGCAAAGCGTGACAGCTATTTGTGTTCATGACTCCCAGAATCCCAGCTCAGGAAGAGAGTTTGATAATCTCCCAGCTAACACAGAGCACACGGCCTGGAACACAGTAGGTGCTCAATAAAAGCTGCCGTCCAGAGGGAGTCAATGAATGTGCTCAGGAGGCTGCTCTAAGAAATACTTTCTCCTGAACTTTTACCATAGCCTCCAATCTCCTCTTCCAACCCAGTCTTTACCCTGTGGCCAGTGAGAGCTTTCAAAAGTACAAATCTGGGCCAGGCGTGGTGGCTCACTCCTATAATCCCAGCACTTTGGGAGGCTGAGGCGAGCATGAGGCCAGGAGTTCAAAACCAACCTGGGCAACATGGCGAAAACCCGTCTCTACTGAAAATACAAAAATTAGCCGGGCGTGGTGGTGGGCGCCTGTAACCTCCTGCTGAGGCAGGAGAATCGCTTGAATCCAGGAGGCAGAGGTTGCAGTGAACCAAGATCGCGCCACTGCACTCCAGCCTGGGAGACAGAGCGAGACTCTGTCTTAAAAAAACAAACAAACAAAAAACAAACAAAAAAAACCCAACAACAACCAAAAGTACAAATCTAGGCCAGGCACCATAGCTCATGCCTGTAATCCCAGCACTTTGGGAGGCCAAGGTACGTGGATCACCTGAGGTCAGGAGTTCAAGACCAGCCTGGCCAACATGATGAAACCACATCTCTACTAAAACTACAAAAATTAACTGAGCATGGTGGGCCTGTAATCCTAGCTACTTGGGAGGCTGAGGCAGGAGAATCACTTGAACCCAGGAGACGGAGGTTACAGTGAGCTGACATCGCACCACTGCACTCCAGCCTGGGAGATAGAGTGAGACCGTCTCCAAAAAACAAAAAAAGTACAAATCTAGTTGGGCACAGTGGCTCACACTTGTAATCCCAGCTACTCCAGAGGCTGACATGGAAGGATCACTTAAGGCCAGGAGTTGAAGACCAGCCTGGGCAACATGGCAAAACCTCATCTCTACCAAAAATACGAAAAAATTATTCGGGTATGGTGGCGGGCCCCTGTAGTCCCAGCTACTCGGGAGGCTGAGGCACAAGAATTGCTTGAACCCGGGAGGTGGAGGTTGCAGTGAGCCAAGATTGTGCCACTGCACTCCAGCCTGAGTGACAGAGCGACACTCCATCTCAAAAAAATAAAATAAAAATAAAAAATTAGCCAGACGTGGTGGCACGTGCCTTTGGTCCTAGCTACTAGGGAGGCTGAGGCAGAAAAATCGCTTGAGCCCAGGAGGTCAAGGCTGCAGTAAGCCGTGATGGTGCCACTTCACTCCAGCCTGGGCAACAGAGTGAAACCCTGTCTCAAAAACAAAAACAAAAACAAAAACAAACCATACTAACCTAAATTCTCTCACTAAAACCCTTCCACAGTGCCAGATAACTCACTCAACAAACAACAACTGAGCACCTTCTGTATGCCAGGCACAGTGCTGGGTGCTGGAAATATACTAGTGAGCAAAATGCACAAGAACATTCTCAGGGAGGTGATGTTCTAGCGAGGGAATGGGTGTGGCTGGGACCCAGAGAATGGTCTCATAATAGGGGGCACAAGGTTGGAGGCTTAGAGAAGAAAGAAACAAGTAAATATATCCTGCCATTTCAGGTAGTGGTGAAGTGCTAGGAAGGAAAATAAAGCAGATTGCAAAAAGGTGCTATTTGAGATGTGGTGCTCAGGGAAGGCCTTTCTGGAGCAATGGCATATAAGCAGAGTGCTGATGGAAGTGAGAGTAAGTTGCAGGGCAAAGGCAGTAGCAGTCCAGAGAGAGGGTACAGCCAGTGCAAAGGCCCGGAGGTAGAACAGAGTGAATGAGAGGAGATAGGAGATAAGATCAGAGAGGTCATGGGGGCCAAATCGGAAAGGGCATGAGCCTACAATAAAGACTTTGGTGTTTGCTCTGATTGAGGTGAGCAGAGGAGGGACATGATCTAACTTGGGTGTTCCAGGAATCAGCAGCCATGGGATAACCTTCAACTTCCTCAATGTGGCCATGGATGGCTCTCCTGACTTGTGCCCCCACCTCATATATTCTCTGCCCCATTGCCCCAACCTGGCTACCTCCTGCTCAGCCTTCAACACTCAGCTCAGGTGTGCCTTTCCATGCCTGTCTGCCTGCTCCACACAGGCTGCCTTACACCAGCTCCTCTCGGGCTGCTGTAGGGCCCTGTTGTCACCTCTAATTCCTAGGACAAAGGCACTACTTAGCTCATTGAATTCTTGAAACTTATCAAGGCAAGCACCATTAGCCTCATTTTATAGATGAAGACACTGAGGCTCAGAGAGGTGATATAAACTTGCTCAAGGTCACATAGTTATTAAGTAAAAAAGCTAGGATTCAAACCCAGGGCCCAGGCTTTTCATGACATCTTGCTGCCTCTCCTCACTCCCAGCTCTGTGCTGCCCCTGGCTCTGCACTCTTTGGCAATTCCTCCCTTGAGAGCTCACCCCCTGTTTTGGTTGCAAAGGGAATAGTGGCAGGGAGGTCGGGCTGTCAGCACAGCCTCCCACAAGGGAGCCTGGCAAAAAAAAGGAGGGTGCTTGAGGGTGTTGCTTCTGATATCACACATACTGCTGAAGAAACAGCACTGGGGATGTGGAATCCCTCAAGTCAGAGCCCCCAGAACAACACTTGGGAACATGCTGATCACATGGAAAATCTCTCTTCTTCTTTTTCTCCCGCACACATACACACACATGCGCACACAGAGACAGAGAGAGAGCCTGTTGTAGAGTAAGATGCTGGGCAGGCCGAGGCTCAGGTCCTGACTGCCACTGACCAGCTGTGTAAGCCCAGGCATGTCACTTTTCCTCTCTGCACCTCAGTTTCTCATCTGTGCAGGGTCAAGCAAAACCAATTCCTTCTTTGGATTCCTGGACTTCAGAAAGGGTCTGGGAGCCGCCCGCCCCCCCCGGACTCTTCCCAGCCAGGAGCAAAACATCTGCATGTGCACACACACACACACACTCACACACATGCACGCAGAGGTACAATAACACAGACACATCCAAAGGCAGACAAACCTAGAAACAAAAACACATCCACAGACACATGAAAATAGACACAAACACATGCAGACATGCACATATACAGACATGATCACACACACACACACATGCCCATGTGCACTGTCTGCTGGGCTATTCTGTGGGGGAAATTGGAGAGCATCCTCTGCAGAGGGGGAAATAAGCTATGTTACACAAATAACCACAGTACAAAGCAGAAAGTTATCAGGGCTGGGGAACAGAGGAAGTGCTGGGGGAGTGCAGGAGAGAGATCCCTTCTGTTTGGGGGTGGTTGAGCAGAATAAAAATAAACTCACACTTACTGCGCACCTTCCCTGTGTCAGGCATTTTCCACACATTATTTAATCTGCATGGCAAACGTGAGGGAAGAATTAGGATTCCTATTTTGCAGATGAAGAAAAAAACTCCAAGAGGGGAAATGACTGCCAAAGGTCTCAGAGCTAGCAAGTGGCAGGACAGGGATTCAAACCCCAAAGCTTGTGCTAGTTCCTCTGCTGCCTGGAAGGCTTCCTTGGGGAGGAAGCTTGTGGACTGGGTCTTGCCTGGAAGGAGTTGGTAGAGATGAAGAGTGAGGGAACATTGTGTGCCAAAGCACTAAGATGGGGAGAAGCAGTGTAGGATGTTCCACAGGGATCTGGGGTTGGCCTGCCCATGGCAGGGGCACTAACCCTCCTCGAATGCTGCTCCTAATGGGAGGTCTTCTCTCCCTCCTTCCCTTTATTGGCACTGCCCGGAACCAGGCAGCCAGCAGGGGATGGGATCAGGATGCAGTTGCCATGGAAACGAATGGGGGCTGTTGCCATGGATATCATAAGATGAGGGCAAGAGGAAGCTAGGGATGGTGAGGACTATCCCCATGACAACTTAGGTGGCAGTGGGGGGAACGGGATGGACCGGAAGTAGAGACAAGAAGACAAGACGAGGAGGTCATTGCACCTGGATGGGGCCAGGGGCTTTGGGTTCTGGAAGGAGCAGACTGGGCCAGAAGACTGGACCCAGTGGCAGGGGAGAGAGGAGGCAGGGGGACTGCAGCCACCTCTCCCTCCAATATTTCTTCGGCAAGCTAGTTCTGCTGCCCAATCCCAGTGTCACAGGGATTCTAAGCCCGAGTCCAGCCTCGCTTCGCACAGGAACTGACAGGGGAGAAAGAAGCCTTTGAAGGAGCTGAGCTGACTGGGTATGCAGTGGGCATACACAGGCTTTGGGAGCGCACAGACCCGGGTTTGAATCCCAGCTTTGCTGCTGTGCAGCCCTAAAAATAATAGTTGTCATTTACTGAGTTGTCATTTTGCTAGGCTGAGCAACTTTGCAAGGTCTGGGTTGTTCTCTCTGAGGAGGACAGCACAGATGATGAAACCTGCCCGAAACCTTGAAGCTTGGCACTGGTAGAGCCAAGATTCAAACAAAAATGTATCTGAACACAAAGCTCGTGCTCTTAGCAGCACCCCACCCTCTGTTGCAGGCACTACTGAGCAGTCCCTCCAAGGTGCAGTCCTTGTATTCTTCATCTCCCCGTGCCTTCCCACAGTGGCACACAAGGGATTGGATGCTGGGTAAATATTTGTGGAGTGGGTGAATGAGGAAGCAACCCAGGAGGAAGCAGGAAGGACTGAGTTTAGATGGAAGAAGCTCCTGACTTCAAGAGCAATGACTCATGGATGTGGCTGGCCAAGGGTGGCAGAAGATGCACAGAGCTGGGATGGACTGGACGG